GTAAAGGCTCTCTAGAAGGCGTGACATGGTCTGAAGATTTCAGAGCTAGCTGGCCAAACGACACTTTGAGAAAACTGTTGTAAGGTTGATGAACGTCTTCGCACTTGCCTGTGCCTGTGCCTGCAGCCTTGCCGCGCTTCTGTCACTTGGGCTCTCCGTGTTGAGGTTTGCCAGACCGGGCAAGTATTGGCGGTTCGACTCCGCGCGCACCACTTTCTGGGAAGAGCTGAGACCCAGCGCCATCAAGAAGCCAGGTGCGGCTGAATCGCCGCATCTTCGAGCCACTCCATCCGGCCTGCTGAAAAAGCAGAAGGACACAAAGGGGACGACTCGCCAGAAAACCTGGACAGTCAAGGATGCGGAGTACAACAACGACGTTGGCCAGATCAGCCGAACAAACAGAGTTATATTTGTGCACGTGCCCAAAACTGGCGGGAGCACAATCGAGCAGTCGACACTGTTCACCGATGCCAGGAAGCATCATGCCGTCGGTAGTCACAATAAAGCCGCGAGGCTGATGCTGGCTGCATCTGGCATGTTATTTGTACAAGAGCACTTTTGGGTTTTCCTACGTGTCAGTCGAGCTGAGTTGTGTGCAAACCCTATAATATCCCTATAAGCCCTATATGCCCTGAACAGCTTTATATTATATTTATAGTAGTTATCATGCGTGAAGTGGTGACTGCTGACCACGCGGCTGCGAAAAGGAAGCATGGGCAGATTCTCTTTGCAATCCAAGGAGGGACCTTGCCCCCCGCTTTCGCAGCTTTTCCATGGTGCGACATCCTTGCGAGCGGTTCGTGTCTGCCTTTACCTACTCGCGAAATTATGCAAATCCCTCAGAGAGACGGTGGCACCGGCAGAGTCCTGGCCAAAGCATCGTCACTCCTATACTGCCTATACTCTAAAGCGAAAGACCACACAACCCCAAAGAACCGAAACCCCACGCCTCCCGCCAAGGCATGTCGGCGACAGGAATCTCACCAGCTACGTGGCTTCGAAGGACTTCGGTGGCACCACAGCTGCAAGTGATGACGCTGGCGGGCAGAGAAATTGATAGCAAAGCCGGGTACAGAAAGGCGTGAGATTCATTATCTGGCCCAACTTCTGCAACGGGCATCTCAGGTGACCGGTTCTGGAGATTTCTTCATTTTCAGCCCCAGTATTCGTTTCTCTTCTTTGCCAACAAGACGTTTGGGGTGGATCTCCTTCTATGTCAGGACAACTGGACAAGAAGCATGGAGAGGTTGGGCGAGTACTTGAAGCCCGTACAGCTCCCTGCTGACATGAAGCGGAAGCACACTCGCAATACGACGCACGCAACGTGCTCCGACCTGCCCCAGAAGACACGTCAGAGAATCGAGAAAGCCTACGCAATGGACATGTGCCTGTTTTATCCAACTGATGCTGCAACGGCGTGCAGTGGATTGTCTGCGAAGGAGCTTACTGCACGCTTCCAACTGTGCAAGTCTCGCGTCTTGGGCAAAAGGCGTTGAGCCGCAGAGGTGACTTGCTCCATGCCTCTTGGTTGTGCACGTGACTGTGGTATACAGATGCAGAAGTTCGAACACTCGCGTCCTGATAGGGTTTACTGCGAAGCACACGAAACGCGATGACCGGTCCTTTCAACATGGGCTTGGCAGGAATGCGGGCTGATCGAGATTGCGAGTCTGGAGTATATCCGGCCCCCTCCTCAACTGCAACTGTCTGATTCCGCCGAAGAGCCCGGAGTTTTCAGCTGGTCTTCCCAACTTGCAACGAGTCGATGCGTCTCGTGCTATCGCGACGGAGGGAGAAGAAGAGGGCAAACCCACAAGTTAGGAGGCTGGTGATTCCAGCTTTGCAGCTCTACGGAACCCGCAGTGTTGCAGAATTCCCGATTCGGATGAGCGCAAGCTCCTCCACAATGCCAGTGACATCGAGTGCTCGCGCTTTTGCGCAAAAGTCTATAAGATCCTGGTACGATGAATGTCAGACCTTGACCACGGCTGGAAATTCCTTTGGCGCGCAAATGCTGCCAGAACGAGGGGAAAACCTCAATTAGTCTTAGTGAATGGCGTGACGCTTGGCTGACTGAAGAGGGCTTGCATTCTTCACGCTTGAGAAAAAGTCGCTTCGTTGTTGGTAGCCGGAGAATGACACGATGGAACGGAAGCACAGCTTCGTTATACTGAAGGTTGGTTGAGATGCGTATGTCTTTTCTGTGTCAACTTGCGCTCCACGGTGGTTTGTCACCGAGAAGCATATACTGTCATCAGCACATTCGGATGCATTCGGATGTGTTTACTTGAGCCCATGTCATGCTGCTGCTGCTCGTGCGCGGAAAGTGCACGGAAGTTGTAATTAGCACTTCCTGGAGAGTGCGAACACAACATGCTTGCAGTATCGTAGACTCCTTCGTCTCCGACCGAACTTCCAGGGACATGTCTTTGCACGGGGTTCTATGCCCTCTTGTTTGTCACAGCTTGGTGGCTCAGATCACAACGCAAATTGCCGGCATCTTGTCACGCAAGGCCCCCACCTTCGAGAGCACTGCAGCGGTAAAGGCTCTCTAGAAGGCGTGACA